ACGTTGTCGTCGGGTCAACATGTGAGAACGGCGCGGCGGAGCTTCGGTTGGCAGCTGCGGCAATGCAAAGCGCAGCGATGGAAAGGAGGGCAACGAGGGCGACGGCAGTGACGCATCGCAAGGCCCAGACGCACGAGCGCCGGCCCCATGCTTGCCGGCCTTCGTCAACCCCTGCTTCGGACGTTGCTTGCGGCCCAAGTTTGCGATGCGCCGTGTAGATGAACGCGATGCTCCATGGACATGCGAGCATCAGCACGAACGCATGCTGCACTCGCTGCGGCACTCGAGCAAGGCCAACCGCCGCGGGAAATTCGACTGCAAAGATGAAGCACACGAAAGGAATGAGGGCAAAGACCAAGGATTCGAATGCACCGCGCACGGCAGCGCAAGCGATCGCCAAGCGAGCCCGAGATGCGAACGCGGAGAGGTCTGTTTGATTGCTCGAACGTGCAAGGCGTGCGCCTCGGTCGAGGCTCACGGCAGTAAAGTAAGGACATGCTGCAAACATCAAGGGAGGCAACAAGACGGTTAGGAGGACTTGATTGAACGGTGAGGTCGCTCGCATCGTTCCGGAGTACACCGTGCCAAAAACATAGCAAAAGACCGGGATCAGTAGCTGCAGCAACGTCGAGTACGACCACGCGGCTCCGTGATCGAGTCGTTGCATCACCTGCTCCTTCAGGGTCGTCTTAACTAGTTGGTTGAACGCGCAGAGGCCATCGACGCCACGTCGCGCGTATATGGATCCAATCGCAGCGTAGATTTCGTCCCTATCGGCGGCACTATAGCAGTCTGCCCCCCTCACATCAAACGAGTCGAGGTGCTTTTGCAGCGCGAGCCGCTGAAGGGCCATGTCGGCACCGAACACTGTCGCGGTAAGGAAAAACATGACGAGAAAGACGAAGAGAAGAGAGAGCTGGACCGCGTGGTGGGGGGTCCACAACCAGCCATCAGCCAGAACGACTCGCTCTCCGTGCGGCGATTCGATCCTTCCGGCGAACAGCATCTCGCACAGCACTGTGAACCCAAACGCCACAGCAGTTCCCGCTATTGCCACGCAGGTTCTGAGGGCGATTTGAAGAGGCAAGAAGAACACTGGCCTGTTTGGATGAATGGCTTGAAACATGGCTAATTCGTACACGCACCAGAGCCGATTGAAGTAGTTCTCATCCCAGAGGACCAGCAGCTTCGACGACATTGCCACGTAACCTGCCAAGTGCCTGATGCCTTGAGTCTTCAGAGCTCGGTTCGTCTGGTGGATGCACGCCGCGTCAACAAAGTAAGTGCGTGTGCGCTGCATGGCGAGGAGGAGGAAGATCGAGGCGACGGCGGCGAGCAGCCCAGCGGTGTACTCATATGGCGACACGTAGAAAGCGATGCGGTTCTCAGCCACCAGGCGGACGTTGCCAGGCAGCTCGACCCAACGTTGAATCAAGCCCATCGCAAGGCACGCGAGCAGGGCGACGGCCAGCGGAACGAGGCCGGCCTCGTGGAGAGCGAGGGCCATCCACTTGCGGCTTCCCTCTGACCGCCAAGCGTGCGAAACGAAGCAGTCTATGGCGCAGACAGGCCGCGACCGATGGAAGAGGCGCTCGCGATCTTGAAGTGCTAGCTTGTCCGGCAGCGTGGCAAAGATATTGGTCGAGCGGCAGCTGGACAGCGAGTCGAAGGATGTGAGCGTGCTGGCAACGCTCACGCCGCGCCGGAGCTCGAGCGGTGGGTAGAGTCCGCTGGTTGCAGAGATATACTTCGCTACGTTTGCCGCCTGTGCCACGGCGGCTTCATCAGCTCTCTCGAGGGCCGCGGGCGATGTCTTTCGTTCGTTGTGCTGCATGAGGCCGCTGAGGCTGCAGCGCTACCGCCTCCGCAGGCTGAGTGTGAGGAGGTCGGGTCGTTCCTCGCCGCCTTTGTCAGGACGTCGGATTTCCTCGCAAACAACGTGTCTTCGTCCTAGGTCACAAAAAGAATTCTTAAGATACAAGCCTCTCTCACAGCACACTGGCACGACAAGGGCGCAGACTGGCACAAAAAGAATTCTTAAAATACGAGCCTCTCTCACAGCACACTGGCACGACAAGGGCGCAGACTGGCGCGGACTGGCACACACACAGGCTCACCACCGGAGCCGCCTAAGCGACTCCGTTAAGAACGGCAATGCACTCCGCACCATGCACAATGCCGCTCTCCCCGCACGCTAGCTCGTTCACCGTCTGCCACGCCACGGCGGTGTGGAGGACGACAGACAAGCGCTGCATCTGCAGCCCGTGCCAGTTCTTGGTGGTCCATGTGACCTCGTCCAGGTGCTGAGCGTGCGAAAGTTTATTGCTCAGCTGGTTCGCCGCCTCCCTCAGGGTGCTGCGAACCTCCTTGCCAAAGCCTCCGAAAGCCTCAAAATCAAACAAACGTAGATCGCAATCCTGCTGCCGCGCAAAGGGGTAATCGCCAGGCTGCTCCGTGAGCTTTCTCTTGGGGGCATCCTCCTCCTCCCCCTCCTCCCCCTCCTCCTCGGCCTCCTCCTCCTCCCCCGCCACCGCCGCTGCCGTCGCTTCCGACGGAGACCACTTGCCGCGCCCTTTGACCAACTTGAGCAGCCCGGTCTCCGTGTTGCCAAAGCGCACGTAGGCCCCCTTCCAGCCGAGCTCTCCGTCGCCGGCCGTGTCCTTGCCCGTGCTCGCAAGCGAGCTCGTGAGCTTCAAATCGGCAACGAGGCGCCTGTGCCCCCTGCCGATGTTTGCCGCCGCCACGTCAGGTTGTTTTGGATTACTGTAACTGAGGTGTGCGGTCGGCTCCATCTCGATGATCATGCCCCACGCCGAGCGGAGGCATTTGACCAAACGTTTGAGTAGAAATTTGTGTCTTGTAGCATGCTTTGACCGAGGGTTAACCATCGCGGCGTCGCCAAGGACGTCGTGTAGCTGGCCGCTGGGTGCCCTCTTGCCTGCCTCCACCGCCTGGCAGGCGACATCAAGGGGGAGCCCAAGGCGGCGCTGGACGGTGACGCGCATCGCCCAGGACTCCATCTTCATGTCATCACGCATGGGGATGGCGTTGAGGAAGGCGCCGGCCCCTGGTTGGCTGACGGCGACAAAACGGATCGCCTCTCGCCAGCATTTGTGGTTCTGGCGTCTTCCGACCTTGTTGCCTTTGGAGGGCGCCTTGCGGCCGCCGCTGCGAAGCGCCTCGTCGGTAAGCTCCTCGGCAAGGTCGAGCCAGTTAGCATGGTGCACGCCAGAGGTGTACCGTCGCTGCGCCTGGTGCAAGAACTCGTTGGTGGACGAGAACTGGGCCAGGGGAAGCAGCTCCGCGGCCGGCGCCAGCCCGTGCGGGTAAAAAGAATTCTTAAGATACAAGCCTCAACACAAAAAGAAAGGCGAAAGGTTGAAAAGGCCCTGCAATCTCTCTCTACAGCATGCATGAGCCGCGCACCGACAACGGTGCCCGCCACTCGCCATCGGCTGTCGCGGCGGAGCCCCTACGAACGCGACGCTCGGAGGCGGTGCCTGTTCACACCAGAATCGTGTAACGGGCACTCGTAGACGACGAAATCCCGCGTTCCCCCCTCTCCTATTCAATAGAGTGCGGTGACCCCCCCCCCACGAGCTCCTCCAAGACTGCTCCAAGAGCACACAGCGAGCACGAGCGAGCGCAGATAGAGCAGTTTGGCTAAAGTACAGGTTTCGATCCGGGCCACCGCAAATTTTGATCAGCAAATTTCGAGGGGCGGCCGCAAATTTTGAGGTAGATTTTTGATTGTCAAAGCGTGTCCGTCTTGGCACAGAATAGAGCATATAGGCGGCGAACACCCAGGTGCGCAGGGACATCGCGACTCTGCCCGCTCGCTCGACCCTTTTGCCGCGTCCGAGTAACCGAGAGGGCGCCGGCCGCGTGTAAGAGGTGGCTGGCGCCCTGAGGCGGCATTTGGTGGCGTGGGGAGTGCGGAGAACGCTACTGGCGGCGCGACAGGGCCTCTCTCGGTTGCGTGCGCCGCCCATCGGCACGCGGGGGCGCAGACATGTGGAAGGGATTAGAGTGGTCTGACCGGCAAGAAGACGGGTCGAGGCCCTCCGTAGGCTCGTGAGGCGTCCCTCTCCCCTCGTTTATAGAGGGGTAGTCATCTGGACCCAAAGGTTGGTGCCCAGCAAGTGTGAGTGGTGAGCCATGTGCGCGGCTCTGCTGTACTGTTGATCGCGGGTGAGGCTGCAAAGCCATCCAAGGCCCTGGCCACCAAACTCGCGCTCGTCGCTCCGGGAACGGGCAGCAGCGCGACGCTTTTCGAGAGCGAGCGGCGGCGGCGGCTCAGCACCAACCTTTGCAACGCAGGGGCTGGCTGCGTGGGCCCCCCCCACCGGACTCCGTCGGGTTCGCGTCTCTCCCTACCCGCTGAGGGGAGCGCAGTGTGTGTCTGTGTCTGTGTCTGTGTCCCTGTCGTGTCGTGTGTGTCGTGTGTAACTCTCGCACTGCTCTATCTTAGCTCTCGCCACAGGCTCAGCCTCGCCTCTCCGCCCGCACGCTCGACGCACACGACAGAACCCGGAGCCGGACGACGTGCGTTTTTGCTTCTCTACAAAACACGCACACCCACGCCCGCCCCAGTCAGCGGACCCAGCGCCATCGAGAACAAAGACTTTGGCGAGCCAACGCAGCCGAGAGAGAAATTCTCCGCAAGAGAGCCTGCCGCTAGCGGAGTAGCGGTGCAGAGCGCGAACTCGCCGTACTGAGCCTAGCGCAGCGCGAACACGCCGTCTGAGCCTAGCGCAGCGCGAACTCGCTCCTGTTCATAGCTGCGCAACCCTAGCCTCGCTCCATTTTCTTCTTTCTGGCGGCATGAGTTGGCCGAGGCCGCCAGCGCCGAAAGGTAACCGCCGAGCCCGTGGTTTTTTCTTCGTGCCAGTCTGCTGTGAGAGGGGCTTGTCCTCGTAGAATTCTTCTTCCCGAAGTAAAATTCCTGCTGCCGCGCGCGCCCGACAACGCGCCCGACAAGCCCACGCCGATCACCCACGATGCTGAAGCCCGTGGTCCTCTTAGTGACGCTGCTAGCACTTGACGTCTTCGCAAAGAAGAAGAAGAAGCGTCGGCGTGGCGGCATGGACGCTCTAGCAGCCTTCACCACGGCCGCGAAACCGCCTTCGAGGACGGGCGTGCCACGCCGACCGCTGAGCCTTGCGTGCTGTGGGATAGGTGAGCGTCAGCCTCGGCGGTTCGGGCGAGCTCGAGCTCAAGCTGCCACCCGCCTCCAAGCAAGTCTCCATCGCCGACCCGGCCTCGCTGATGAAGCACGTCGCCGGCGCGTGGGACAGCGTCGTAGCACCTCACCAGGCGGGCCTCACCGACCCAAAGGCTGGGCCGATGAGCGGCGGCGCCCTCGCGCCGGAGGAGGCGTGGCACCACTACACCGCCGGCCAGCAAGGCGTCATCGACTCAGCGCGCTTCCTCGTCGCCTTCAACGTCAGCACAACTCGCCGCAGCGCGGGGGCGGCACCGGCGCTGTCCGCGAGCCTTCCCGGAAGCTCCCGAGAATAGGTGGTGCCGTCGCTGCAGCGCGGCGGAGGCGGCGAGCTGCACGCCGCCGCGGCGCGGGGGCTGGTGGAGCGGGTCGTCGCTATCCTCGATGCAGACCCGCAGGCGGCGCCGCACTGGCGATAGATAGACGGGCAGTCTGCACCGCGATAGAATGAGAGTTGGACGGCCACACTGCGATAGACAGGTAGACGGACAGACAGGACTGCGATAGATGAAGACAGAAAGATAGATGGACAGTCTGGGCCCGTGTTAGGCGGTGCACGCTGCGACCGGCGAGGGCATGACGGCACTGATGGCGGCGGCGGCGACGGGGCAAGCGAAGGTGCTCGAGGTGCTGCTCGAGGCGGGCGCGGACCCGCAGGCGTCTGGCAATAACGGCGCATCCGCATCTCCCCCACATCTCCCCCACATCTCCCCATATCTCCCTGCAGGCGTCCGGCAATAACGGCGCATCCGCGCTGCACATTGCCGCTTCGCTTGGCCAGATGCAGGCTGTCCAGGCGCTGCTGGCGAGCGGGTGCGTCTCACACACACACACACACACACACACACACACACACACACACACACACACACACACACACACACACACACACACACACACACACACACACACACACACATCCCGCCGCGTACGCGATCAGTGAGGCGCTGCTGGCGAGCAGGTCGACTACCCACATCTCCCCATCTCTCCCCCATCTCTCCCCCATCTCTCCCCCATCTCTCCCCCATCTCTCCCCCATCTCTCCCCCATCTCTCCCCCAGGTCGACTGAGGTCGACTACCCGCACCACTTCGCGAGGACGACGGCGCTGCACTTTGCCGCGGAGATGGGGCACGCGGGCGTTGTGCAGGCCGTCTGCGCCGCCCAACAATTCAATACTCTGAACTCTGAACCATTATTGGTTATTATTATTATGATTAAGACGCGCTGGCCCTCTGCGCCGCCGGGGCAGAGATGTAGACTATGTACACTATGTTGTGTTGTGTTGTGCAGGCCCTCTGCGCCGCCGGGGCAGACTCGAACGCGCGCAAGAGCACCGGCAAGACCCCGCCGCACAGCGCTGCCGACTACGATCAAGACTCTCAAGAGAACACCGACAAGAAGCACAAGCGTAGGCGGGACCCCTCTGCACACGGCGGCAGACTGCGACCAGCCCGCCGCAGTCGCAGCGCTGCTCGCCCCTCCGTGCGCCGCCGACCATACTCTCCTCCTGAACGGCGGCACGACGCCGCTCTACCTCGTGCGATTGATTCCTTGTCTGATGGGCTATGATTAGTCACCAGGCGACACGACGCCGCTCTACCTGGCGGCGCAGCGGGGCTGGACTCGCGCGGCGGAGGAGCTGCTGACTCGTGGTGCCGACCCGAACTTAGTGATGCGGTCCGGCACCATCTCGACTGCCGTGTCCGCCTAACACTTCACAAGAGTTGAGCATTCGTGGAAATTCTTAGGTCCGGCACCTTCTCGACCGCCGTGTCTGTCCCGGGCGCGGCCGAGCCGCTCGCCTCAGGCGGCTTCTACGCCGCCAGGAACAGCAGCTGAGCGGGCGAACGGCGGGTGGGTGAGTCTCCAAGTCCTCACGGACTCGTTGGCAATGGCGATTAGGAACACGGAGCGGGCGAACGGCGCGACCGCGCTGCACGTGGCGGTGGAGAACGGGCACTACGCGACGGCGGAGTTGTTGCTCGAGCACGGCGCGCTGCAGCTCGGCTCTGAAGGGCAGACGACACGCCCGTGATGTAGAGTGCTCACTGGAGCGCACTCCCCAGGCGCGCTGCAGCTCAACTCGATGGAGGGGACAACGCCGCTCATCACCGCGCTCCAGTACAAGCACCCGCACATCGCCGCGCGCCTCCTGGCGGCAGACCCGCCCCCCGACCTCACGGCTCGCGTGCCAGTCGACGGAGCGAGCGCGCTCTTCGTCGCCAGCGGCGAGGGGTACACGGATCTCGTGCGGGAGATGCTGCGGCTCGGGGCGCCGCCTGACCTTCCAAACAAGCACGGCGCCACCCCCCTCTCGCACGCCGCCTTGCGAGGCCACCTGCCGGTGTTGCGCTTGCTGCTCTCCGCCGGCGCGAGGGCGGACGGGGCCGCCGAGGGCGCCTCCGCCGCACTGGCGCCGCTGCACGCCGCCGTGTCGCGCGAAGGCAGGCTGCGGGGCAGAGGGCTCGCAGAGGCGGTGGCGGCGCTGCTGGCGGCGGGTGCGCACGCCGACGCCCTCGCCTTGGGCGGGGCGTCGGAGCGGGGGGAGGTTGCCGCCGTGAGGCTGCTCCTCGCCGCCGCCGAGCCGGGCATCGCCAACCAGCCAGGGGGGCGGTCGGGCGCGACTGCGCTGATGAAGGGGTGCGCGGCCGGTAGCGCAGAGGATGGTTGCTAATGAGCAATGAGTAGCTGTTCCAATAGCAATGAGTACCTGCTCCTCCTTTTCATTAGGTCCGTGGCCGGCAGCGCAGAGGTGGTTGCAGCATTGCTCGACGGGGGCGCGTCGGTCAACGCGACCGCTGGCGCTGCGATGAGCGGCGCCACGGCCCTCTACCTCGCTGCGCAGTACGGCCACGCCCACATCTGCCGGCTGCTGCTGCAGCGAGGGGCGTGGGCGACGTGAGCAGCGCCTCTTCACGGGCTGCGGCTGTGAACAGGCTGCTGCTGCAGCGAGGGGCGTGGGTGGACGCGCCGATCGCCGAGCTGCACGTCACGCCGCTCTTCGTCGCCGCCGAGCGAGGCGCTGTCGACGCGCTGGAGGCGGTCGGCAGCCTGCGCAGTAGCCTGTAGCTGGAGCCTGGGGCATCGTGACTATTCCCCTCCCCCCCCCCCCCCCCGTCCCTTCCTTGACGGCCCCTGTCTCTGCTCGGCGGCGGCGCCCGGACCTCGCCGCGCGAATCCCCGGGAGGAGCGCGAGGTGGTGTGCGAGGCTAGGCGCTCCTCGAGGGAGGCGCCGCCGTCGACGCGCCGAACTGGAACGGCGTCACCCCGCTGGGCATCGCGGCGCTACGGGGGCACGAGTATTACTGAACGAATTCTGAAGAGCAGTTAGTTGACGTTAGGCGTGACGGCGCTGCGAAGGCACCAATGTTAATGAATGCATTCTGAGGAATGAGTGATTGACCTTAGGCGTGACGGCGCTGCGGGGGCACTGCCGTTCATCAATGAATTCCGAGGAGTAAATAGTCAATGGTAGGCATGGCGGCGCTGCGGGGGCACGTTCGGGTGATGGAGAGCCTCCGCTCTCGAGGCGCGGCACACGGAGACGAGAGGAGATGGTGCATCGCATTGGGCTGAATTGAACTCGGCTCCCGAGGCGCGCATCTCGAATCTCGGGTAATCTCGGGTCATCTCCTCTGCCCCCGAGGCGCGCATCTCGACCGCCGCGACAACTCCGGCTCGACGCCGCTCGCTCTCGCCGCCGCCGCGCCGGCCGAGGAGCTGCTTCCAGAGGCGGGGGAGAGAGGAGCCCGCGCCGGCTCAATCCGCATGTTGCTCCGTTCCATTCGCGGCGTACATTGAGCACAGGCGAGGGAGAGGAGCCTGCGCTGGCTCATCGCCGCCGGCGCGGCGCTCGGCTCGGTCGACAACGCGGGCAGCACACCACTCATCGCGGCTGCCGCCGCCGGCCAAGCGGCGTCCGTCTCGCTACTCGCAAGCGCGGGCGCCGACGCCGACGCGACGCGAGCCGATGGCCGCGTCTTCAACTTCCGGGGAGGAGGCGCTGCGGTGCCCCTCCCCAAACCTTCCCGGAACCTTCCCGTAGGTCGCACGGCGCTCCACATCGCTGCCGAGAGTGGCGATCTGCAAGTCGTGCGTGCCTTGCGCGCCTCGGGCGCCGCGGGCGGCGGCGCCGCCCTCGAGGCCGCGATTGCACGGCGAGAGCACAAGCTCATCGCGGCGCTGCAGCCATAGGGAAGCACTTGCTTGTCGTGAGAGAGCCCATCATTTATTGTGTCCAACGGACATGAGTGTTGTCAGCGTGTGGTGACTGGTGAGTGGTGTGCTCCTGTGCGCGTGTGGTAGCCTGGTACGGTACCCTCGGTACTGGAGTAGTGCTAGAGTGGCGGCGTGGGCCTGCGGTACAAAACGCTAGTAGTACGACTCTCTCTGTACACCCTGGGACCGGACACGGTCTCAATCAGGAGGTCCAATCTTCACCGACACCGTCTACCGCATCTTGCAGAGGCTCACGCTCGCGCCGCTCCAGCTGCCTCGCGAGCTCCTTCTGCAGGCACGCGCACCGCAGCGAGAGCCTGACCGACTCTCGGCGCAGCCGGCGCCGCGCGGAGCGAAGGGCGTCGACATTGGCGCGGTCGCTGATGCGGTTGGACGTCTCTTCCACTTCGCGTTTGGACCGGCCGATGCGGCCGTGCAACCCTTCCAGCTCGGCGCTCAGCCGGTCGACACGCGCCTGCGCCTCTGCCAGCCGCGCGCTGCGCGACGCCGCCTCGGCGTTCAGCTCCTCCAGCCTCTCGCGGACGGGAGCGAGGGCGGACGCCTCGTGGCCCATGCGCTCGCTGATCCCCTCCAGTCCCGGCCGCGCAACCTCCTGCGAGGCATCAAAGCTGGGCGCGTGCCGCTGCATCAGCTCCAGCCGGTGCCTCCAGCGCAGCTGGCTCCAGCCGAGCTGCAGCTTGAGCATCGGCCGGCACCGCGCGCACTCCTCGCGCCATGCCGCGGGCTCGATCGCGCTGCAAATTGGCGAAAGCAGCCGCCCAGCCGCCGGCTCATCCCAGCCTGGCTCCGACCACTCCGGCTCGCCCACCGACGGCTCGTCTGATGTAACTGGCGCGCTGCCAGGCTCGGACTGGACACCAGCGCGGTATGGGTGGACGCTGGACAGATGATGACGGCACGCACGAGCGACACACAGACACAAAGAGGCTCACCGTGGGAATCGTGAGTGAGTACACACACACACACACATACGGTCGGCCGCCAGAAAACACGCCTCCGTGGCTCGGGTTACACCAATCCTCGCTACCCAACGCGGCCAAAGGAAATCCACCTCGAGAACCTCGGGAGAACACATATAGGAATTCCCTATTGTGATGTTAGAGGTGGGTTAAGAGGGAGATGCGCGCGAGCTGCGGGACCGCCGGGACGGCGGGCGGGTGATTGCGACTCGCCGCCACTTTTGGCGACTTTTGGGACGCGCGATCGATCGACCGAGAATCGACATGGCGGGCGAGGCCGTCACGGCCATGATCGTGGCTGCTGACGCCGGTGACAACCCGCTGGCGGACCGCCGCGAGGACCGGGAGGCGGCGGCGGCGCGGGAGAGGAAGGCGAAGGTGGCGAAGCTCAACTCGCAGACGGCGAACGCGATGGAGGTGGTGCGGGCGCAGCAGGCCGCGAAGGAGCGGGGAGCCTTCGACGAGGCGGCTCTCAGGGCGAACGAGGTCGCGGGAGCGCCGGTGAAGGGCACCTCCGCCATGGTCAAGAGCATCTTCGATTCCCGACGCGGGGGCAAAGATTGGAAGATGGTGCAGCGACGCGAGCAGCGGAAGACCCAGACCGGCGCGGGCACTGGCGCGCAGGTTATGGAGGGCCTGGAGAAGGTGGCGGCGTCGGCAATCGAGATGTACCAGAAGGGCGGCACCGACGCACTCACGGTGACGGACGCGCACGCGGTGCTGGTGAATGACGTGGCGCTGAAGCAGGGCATGCTGGCCATCTCGGCGAAGGCTGTGTCGAACTACCCGCAGTTTGTGTCGTGGCTGGCCACATTTGCCACGTTTGTGCAGTGCTTCTATCCGTCGTGCGGCTGGCGGCACAATTTGCCGTTGGATGGGAGCGGAGGGAAGCCGATTGCCATCCCGGCGAAGCTGGTGGTGCTCTACCTGGCGATGGTTGCCAACGGCCTGGTGCCGATGGGAGGGTTTGTGCGACTTCCTACCGGGTATGAAGCCCTGATACAAGATTTTTGCGTGCCCATGCCCAGACTAAGTCGAGCGCGTCAGAGAGGTGTTTCGACACCGTCACCGAGTGTTTGGATCCCTACGTAGAATCGTTTTCTTCGCCTCGCCGTCCTCGCGGGAGTCGCTTAGGCGGCTCCAGTGGTGTACCTGTGTTAGTGCCAGTGCGCGCCAGTCCCGTGCCCAGTGTTGTGCGTCGCTCAGCTAGGTCGCAGCTAGGTCGCGGCGGGAGCTTTGTTGTAAATTCGCTCGTTGTGGGGCATATGCTGCTCGCCAGCTCGCTCGTCGGCCTCGATCCGCCGGGTGCCTCCGGCTGGTGCTCCTCGTGCGGGCGGCCGCACTCGTTGCCTCGCACTGCGCAGGCGGAGATGGAGGCGCTGTCGCTGCTGCGGCGCATCGAGCAGAGCGGGCGGTTCGACTTCACCGCCGCCGAGCCAGACCCGCGCTTCGGCCTGACGCAGGAGCAGCGGCGGACGGGCAAGATGCTCGGCGTGCTGCTCTGCTCGGACGGCACCGTGCTGCGCGCCTTCAGCGGCATGCTGGGCGGGACGTGGCACTGCCCAGGGTGGGCGCCGCCCGTTGCCGGCCTGACGCTGGAGGACGCGGAGCCGGCGGCCGCGTTCGGAGAGATTGTGCGCCTCGTCGCAAGAGCCGACGCTGCGGCGGAGCCCGAGCGCGGCCGGCTTCGGCGGGCGCACAGGGAGCGCTCGGCCGCGCTCTCGCAGGCGCTCGGCGCCAGCTACGTGTTGCGCAACGCGCGCGGAGAGGAGGCGGGCGTGCCGGAGCTGCTGCGTGCTCAGGGCGTGCGCCCGCCCGGAGGCGTGGGCGACTGCGCGGCGCCAAAGCTCCTCACGGAGGCGCACAGGCGCAGGCTAGTGCCCGAGGCGATCGCGGAGGTGTGGTGCGGGCCGCCCGCCAAGACGCGCACGCACGGCAGCTTCCACGCCGCGTGCCGGGAGCGGTGCGAGCCCATCATGGGTTTCCTGCTCTGTGGGGTGCCGGCGGCGTGCGGCGCCGACGGATAGCGGTTGGCGCGCCGTATCGGTGTGGTGTCCGGTCGTGTGAGTGTCTCACGTCTAGGCGTGGTTTGCTTTCCTAATTTACAACCTAATATCTGGGCCCCTCTGGGCCGGCGCGGGGGCCCCAGAGCGCAGAGGGTGTCCATGCGGGGGCCCTCGCCTCCAGCGCGTCGCGGAACAGCGGCTCCGCGCTGTCGAAGTCGCCCTTGGCATTCAGCAGCGCGCCAAGGTTGTTAATCGAGGCGAGCGTGTGCGGGTGCCGGTCGCCGAGCGTCTCTCGATTTGCCTCCAGCGCCTCGCGAAGCAGCGCCTCCGCGCCGTCCAGGTCGCCCTGGTCCTCCAGCAGCAAGCCGAGGTTGCTGATCGAGGCGAGCGTGTGCGGGTGCCTGTCGCCAAGCGTCTCTCGCCTCGCCTCCAGCGCCTCGCGGTACAGCGCCTCCGCGCCGTCCACGTCGCCCTTCGTCTTCAGCAGGAAGCCGAGGTTGCTGATCGAAATGAGCGTGCTCGGGTGCCGGTCGCCAAGCGTCTCTCGGCTCGCCACCAGGTCCTCGCGGATCCGCGCCTCCGCGCCGTCCAGGTCGCCCTTTTCCTTTAGCAGCGAGCCGAGGTTGTTGATCGAGGTGAGCGTGTCCGGGTGCCGGTCGCCGAGCGTCTCTCGCTTCCCCTCCAGCGCCTCGCGGCACAGCGGCTCCGCGCCGTCCAGGTCGCCCTGCTCATACAGCAGGAAGCCGAGGTTGCTGATCAGCGTCGACGTCGCCCTCTCCGCTGGCTCCATCCGCCCCAGCGCCGCCCTCCCCTGCCCGGCTAGCGCCCCCCGCAGCAGCCCAAACACAGCCTTGTTGCACTCGGTCAGGCCAACCTCCCGCTCCAGCTCGCCCAGGATCAGCTCCGTGTCTTCCGGCTTGCGGCACTCGGCCTTGCGCACATCCACCTCGGACAGCTTCGTCGCGATCGACTCAAAGTCCTCCACCAGCGCCGTCTCAAACGCCGCCTGCTGCTCCGAGCTCATCACCACCTCGAAGCGAGCGCCCGACGCCTGCGTGTGGAACACCTCCTTGATGCAGTACGCGCGCCGCAGCGGCATTGGGTTGTCAAACGGCTCCATGAGCAGAACCGTGTGGCCGACGGCGCGGACGCAGTCGCCCAGCCGCTTGACGTCGTTCATCGTGACGTCGAGCTGCCGCGTCGACTGGCGGATCACAAAGTCGCACACCCAGAACTTGGTGTCGGGCGGCAGCTCTGGGTGGAGCCGCAAGTACTGCCGCAGGGCGTCTACCAGCGTCGCGAGCGGCGTCTCGAGGAACCAGCTCACGAAGACGGTGGCGACGCCCACGCCAGGGTCGCCGCGCTCGTACAGCGTCTCGCAGTACGCCTTGCCTCCCTCCGCCTCGCTCCGCCTCGCGACAAGCCACTGGTTGACGTAGCCGTTGAGGGCGGCGTTGGCGGGGACGCGGACGCCGTTGATGGTGGGCCGGTTCTCGTTGCACTGCTCGACGGCGTCGGCGGGGAGGGCGGTGATGTACTCCTCGATCGCGTCGACAGACAGGCCGAGGGTCAGCCGCTCGGGGAGGGTGAAGCCGGCGGCTCTGTGCGAGACGAGCGCTTGTGCCGGCTGAGCTTCCACCACCTCTCTCTCAGAACTCCTGACGGCCACACGCTGCTGCGCTGTCGACTCGTCTTCTGTGACGTCGTCACTCGGCTTGACGGTGGGCGGTCTTGCTTTGCTGGCGCTCACCTCCTTGCCCTGCGTGGCTTGCACTTGAGTCGCCTCTGACCGCTTGTTAGCCTCACGCCGATTGCACTCGGCGACTCTCGGTGCGGCCGTGACGACCTCCCCTGCCTCATGCTGCGCTTCCGCGACCTGCGCTTCCGCGGTCGAGCTCTCAGATGCAGTAGAGCTAGCGCAGCCCATCGCGGCTCGGTCCTTCCAGCGGCTCGCGCTTGAGCACCAGCGACCAGTTGACACCAGGCGTCTCGTATCACGTGCCGAGTTTTTTTCTGTTTTCCCGAGAATTTTAGGAGATCGCTAGTTTATAAAATAGCAGATCGCCCGGTTTTATTTAAAAGCAACTCATATTTTTTCCTCCTCTGGTACCTTGGCATGCAGGGCGGCTCGGCATGCGCACCACTCTCGTGCAGCAATCGAGCTGGAGCGCTTCGACGTGCTCAAGATCCTGTCGATCGACACTGTCTCGCAGTCCTTCCACGCACGCTGCCTTCTCCAGCTTCGTGTGAGAGGAGCCAAGGACCGGAGGGAGTCCTTCGTCACCTTCAAAGATGGCGCCACCGAGTCTGTCGAGTGGTTTGCAGGGCGAGTCGAGGTGCTCAACTCGTTTGAGCACGACTCATGTAAGCTGATAGACGAGAAGCCAACGGTCAGGGACGACGGCGAAGACCTGCTTATCCAGCTGCGGTTCGAGGGGCGCTTCTACCAGCCGATGCGGCTGCACGCATTTCCCTTCGACTCGCAAGAGCTGAGCATCAAGTTTATCATTCTCTGCCGCGTCGACGGCCCCGCCCCAGCCGAAGTGAACGTATCGCCTCGCGTGATCTGCAGACTCGTGGACAGTGGCTTCGCGCCACGCTTCCAGTGGCGGCCAAAGGGGCAGGTGCGCTGCCACGCAGGGACGCACGAGGCTAACGGGCGCACCTTTCCCAAGTTTGGCGCGTCGGTCAGAGTGGCGCGGGAGTCCCGCTTCTACGTCACCAACGTCGCGCTCCCCACCGCCGTCTTCTCCGGCCTCGCCTTCACCCTCTTCGCCGCGCAGCCGTCGGAGCCTATGGAACGCCTGTCGGTGCCTCTTCGGACTCCTGACCCAGTGTGTGCTCCCATGCTATCGTCACAGCTCTACGCCCGAGTTACAGGTCGCCTTCACGCTCCTCCTGACGATGGCGGCGTACAAGATCACGGTGGCGGGTATGATCCCGCAGGCAGTAGAGCCTACGCGCCGGGAGGGAGGGAGGGAGGAGAGGAGAGGTGGGGAATGTGTGCGGCGTCACCTGCAGTCAGTGCCACACCTCTCGACGTAGGTGTCCTACGAGACCTTGCTGGACCAATTCCTGCTCTGCAACTTCTTCCTCCTCGTAGCGATGGCGATCGTCAGCGCAGTTCTTCCGCAAGCGGACAAGAGGCGGAGGATTTGGCCGACCGCATCTGTTTGGCGCTTCTCGGCGCGGGTTGGTGCCTAATCCAGGCGTGGTTCGTGGCCAAGGCGCGGTCGCGAAAGGATTGAGAAGTGCTCTTAGAAGAAAACAGTGTCTTCTCTACTTTCTCACACACCCCTTCGCAACAACATCAGCGAAGGTGGAGGCGGGGGTTCCCTGTGAGAGTTTTCCCAGAGACGAGAGAGTACGGCTAGGGGGGGATATGGTGATTTTCAGAAAGTCGCCTCGGGCACAAACGAACACTGGCGCTGGGAGTACAGGTGCTGGGGATCACAATGGTATATCACTAAGAGTCTCACATGGTCTAGTACTGACACAGCGTCCCGACAAACACACTCAAAATTCTCACTGCTCCGTGTCCCGGCGGCACTGGCGGCGCCGAGGGTCGGCCGTGGGCGCCTCCACGGCGCCGAGCTCGCGAGGGTCATACCGCCAGCTGTACACCTGCTTGTGCGTCTTTGGGTTCCACTTCTTTGGCAGCAGGAACAGCCATTGCTCGCCCGCTGCCTCGTCGAACTCCGGGTCCGCGTCCCAAGCCCAGAGCACAGCGCCGGCCGGCAAGACCGACCTCGCACGCTTCGACCTCTTGTCAGAGAGCCCGTCGGCGACCCGGACGACGCGCCCCGTCGACCAGATCATGTGCGGCTGGTTCGTGTCCTTGTCGGTACTTCCAGAGTACCTGAGGGCGGCGGCACAGTGTGAGCGTGTGTCCCGACCGGACTACTCTACACGACTACGACGGCACACCTCGAGCCGCTTGCCGACAAGCGCCGAGTCGAAGGCGGGAGCCTCCTCGGGCTGCCTCCACTCCGTATCATCGGAGATGCCCGCCGCAATGCGCCGCTCCACCTCTGCCTCGGCCTTCCGCTTTAGCTCGTCCGAGTTGAATCGCGTTGTAGACCGCACCTCCACCGCGTCGGCGTCGAGAGTGCCAAGCTGCGTCGAGCCGCCCGCTGCCAGCTGCGGGGGCGCCGCCTCCGTCGGCAGCCCCGATACGCTGTCCGGAGGAAAGCGCTTGCGCGCCGTCTCCTCCTTGATGAGCTCCTCGAGCAGCTTGGTCAGGTGCGCGACGGTGCCGATCCTAGAGTCGGCCGCGGACGACCAGCGAGTCGCGTACTCACTCCAGCCGAGGCCGAGCACGCGCATCTCAATCTGGTAGCGCAGGTACTCGAGCTGCTGCGCCTCCGGCTTAGGCCTGCCGTGCGGGTAGTTCGGCACCCGCTTCCCGTCGTGCAGCGCCTTGACCACCTGCAGCGCGGACGTAGCTCGCTGCCCGCCCGGCGCGGCCCACGCCGCAAAGAGCTCCTTGGCGTACGCGTATCGCTCCACCGCCTTGTTGAGCATCACGGTCACGCGCTCCTCGCGGCGCTCGAGCTTCTCCGCCGCCTGCGCCTTGAGCGCCTGCCGGCCGGCGTCGCGCGCGCTCGCCACCTCGAGTCGCGCGAACTCGACGAGCGACTCGCGCTGCCGCTCGGTGAGGCCCGAGTAGAAGTAGCCCCCCGAGTGCGCCTGCGCCGCGTGCTTTCGCTTGCGTCTGTCGTGTAGGGTGTTGGGCGGCCGGTCGAAGTCGTGCATCCGCATCTGCTGCGCCATCCCCGACACCGACTCAACTGTCGCGTGCCGCCACATCCGCATCAGGATGTCGAGGCAGCCGAAGTTCGACTCGACGCGGTCGTTGGTCGCGTGCGCGCCGGCCGTCGCAGCGTTGCGGCCCGGATCAGCGCCGACGGCGAACTTGCCCCCCTGCGACACGAGCATGCTCGAGATCGAGCGCCGCGGGTCGCGCATCGCGAACAGCGCCGCCTCGGCCATCTCCTCGGCGAGCGTGATGACGCGTGCCTCGCATTGGATGTTGCCAGCGCGCGTCGGCTCGCGCGCCTCTGCCAGCACCATCGCGTGGATCGGGTAGGACGTGCCGTCCGCCGCCTTGAGCTCCTCCTTCGCGTGCGCCGTGCGCCACGCCGCGAACTCCGGGTACTTGGCCGCGAAGGAGGCGAAGGGGTCGTAGGCCGGGTCGAGCAGCCGGCGGCCGTCCGCGGCGACGGCCTGCATCATGTCGTAGATGGCGTCGAGCAGCTCGCTCGAGTCGTCGAGCCCCCAGCCGAGCTCGCCGGCCTTGCCGGTGAGCCAGCGCGCCGGCTCGGAGAAGATGTACTTCCAAAGCACATTGACTCGCAAAGCCGCTGTCATCTCGTTGCAGCTCAACACGGTGAGGAGGAAGTTCTCGAGCTTGTTGTCCGCGCCCGAGGGCTGTCAGAACTTGAAAGGCGCTGTCAGGGAGCAGAAAAGCACTCGCACGTCGAAGGTTTGCCATTGTAGTTGCCGTCGGCCGAGGAAGTCGTGCATACGCCGCCCTTGCAGCTGGGACAAGTACCCTTTGTCATGTGGCCGCCGGTCATTGTTGTAGTCTTCTCCTTGGCCCTGAACAGGACTTTAAATTGGCACTTCATGCAGTGCGCCAGGTCTGTAGGTTTCTTGTAGAAGCAAATCGCCGCGTAAATTGCGAGGAGAATCAATACGGCGCCAAAGATCCCGCCGAAAATTCCGCCGGAGCCACTCTCTTCAGAAAGGCGCCTGACAAGTTCCGGCATAACCGGAGCTGCGTCGATGAGCGTCGGCGTGATGAACACAAGATGCTTGAAAGAGACATCGAGTCGTGCGACCTAGGCCCAAGACGAATACGGGGCGCGTGAAACACAGTGGAATCTCTTTGCAACGGCGTGTGCAAGAGAGAAGAGGAGTCACTTGTGCGTTTTCGACGTACCAATGCAGCGCGCACGTTGAGGTACCGCAGAGCCTGCACCGGCCGCGAGTGGAAGAGCTCGAAGGCGGTAGCGATCGCACGTCGACGCCGTGGCACTCTGGGCGCCAGCCGTGTGAAGCATCCGCGATGTAAGCGCACGCGAGCCGAATCCGTGTCGCCTCGTCAGCCGGAGCGGCGCCGCTGCTAGCGCTGAGCAAGGAGATCGAGCGGGTGGGCATGTACGGGGTGTGGACCGTGAGTTGACCAGGGGTTGTGCGCCGGGCCCTCCTGCTCGGCTCCAGCGAGTAGACAAGTATTACCATCAACAGAGAAGAAGGATCTGACCTCAGGGCTGATGTGACCAAGCGCTGGTAGCGTGGTTTTACCTCACACCCACGGTCTCACAGTGTGCCGGCAGTCGCCGAGCAGTGTCGCTCACACAAGCCGCAGCACAAGTGACTGAGGGCCAGTGAGGGCGAGCCCATCGCTGTGACAGCTGTGGCAGCCGCACAGTAGGCTGTGCCAACTGTGCAGAGCGTGTGAGCAGCAGAGGAGCTGCTCTCCAGGCTTCAGGCGCAAAGACCACACCCTTATTGCCAACAAAACAGGGCTTCTTTAGCGGGGGCCCGGGGGCGCCCTGACTGCACTCCAAGTGCTCCAAATGCCCTCGCCCATCCAGGGTTTGGGCTCCTCCGGGGGGAGGGGCGGCACTGCCGCGGCCCGGTTTTCATACCTGTACCTGTCCGAACACACACACTCACACACACACACTCCGAATAGGACTTAGGAGCTCGAACCCAGTCATGAAAAAAGAAAACGGACACCGGGAGGTGGATCATGGGAGACGTACAGGGCTCAGGGGGCACCGGGCGGCACTGCCGCCCGGTTTTCAATACCTGTCCGAATAGGAGCTCGAACCCAGTCATGAAAAAGAAAAAAGAAAACGGACACACCGGGAGGTGGATCATGGGAGACGTACAGGGCTCAGGGGGCACCACGGGGGCGGCGACCACCATTCTTGCAGCTTTTGCAATCGACTCTTCTCCTTGCCCATCACGCGGCTGCCAATCTTGGACAGCACCCCCTCCTCCTTCTGCCCGCAGACCTTGCCGCAGACCTTGCCGTACGCGCTGCTGACGGCCGGCGAAGCCTTTGCCCACAGCTTGCGGAGCAGCTCTCGCGAGGCGACAAGCAGCGCGGCCACGAGGAGAGGCACGATCGTAAACTGGTCAAACTGGGCGGATTCCGGCGTGAGCCAGCGCGCGTAGCGCGAGTCGGCCGGGACTAGGGCGAGGTAGGTGAAGCCGAGCGTGAAGAAGAAGGCTCCGAGGAGCGCAGTCGCCGCCGGTATGATCTTTGCACGCAGGTACAGCCCCAGCACGCCGCCACCCACTGCGCCGACCAGGAGGAGCTCGAGGAGGAAGAGCTTGATAATCGTGTACACATAGAAACCAGCGACACCACCGACGCAAAGGCCGAGCAGAAAGAAGGCGGTCCATGGGCTCGTGCGGACACGCAGGCCGCACGCCACGCCGACCACCAGCGGCGGCAGTGCCTGCAAGGTGCAGTCCAGTCTGGCATCAAAAGCCTCGAGGATGCCAGAGATCGCGGCTGAGGTGATTGCGCTTCCGCACACAAAACCAATCGTGAAGAGGATGGTTGCGTTGAGCTCGTCGCCGTGCACCAGAAAGAGGAGGCCGACCGACATCATCACCAGGTCGAACAGCACCGCGCCAAACGAATTTGGGTACGCGAAGTCTTCACTCAGCTCCAGGCCGCTCTGCGCTGCGGACCACGGGAGGAATCGGTCGAGCAGGCAATCGCCTCCACCCATATGAGCGCGGCCCGCGCGATGCCTGGAGGCGCGTGAAAGAGGTTCCTTTCCGCCCCCCCTCAAGGCGCGCGCGAGACACAGGACCGGCCCCAGCTTCGGCACCCCAGCGTACTGTAGAGGGCGTCGTGTTCTCGAGGTTCTCGAGTTGGATATAGTTAGACGCTGCGCAGGCCTCCCCCGGTATTTTATTGGTCGATACGAGAAGAGCCGCATTATATGAAAACCCCAGAACGGGTCGGACACCGTCCCACCGTCGCCTCGCTACAGACGTCAACACAAAATCTCTCTCACACGTCACGCCCCCGCGCCAAGCACCGCTCAGCGGCGACGGGGAGGGCGGCCGCGGCGGCGGCGGCGAGGCGCGAGGCGGTGGCAGCGGTGGTGCGGACGGCGGGATTGACGGGGAAGCGGCGGCCACGAGCGGAGCGGCGGCGAGAGGGGGGCAGCGGTGAGGCGCCGGCGAGCGCGAGGCGCCTGCGCCATCATAGAGGGACGCCGCCGCGAGATGGAGGGCGGCGGTGACGGAGGCGAGGGGCGAGGCGGCGGCGGCGGCGGCGGCGGCGAGAACGGCGGCACCGAGTTTGTCTCGGTGAGCGGAGCGGCGGCGGGAGGAGGAGCAGCGGCGGCGCTCTCGCTGTTTGAGGGCTGTTTTGAGCCTGGGATCCCATGCCACTGCGACCGGCGTGCCCGGGAACGGAGATCGCGCGCGCGCCGCATTCACGACGCGCGCGCGATCTTCGCGGAGTCGGGTCCCCAGAGGGAAGCGGTCTTTTCGGCCGACGTCCAGCGGCGCGCAAGGAAGCAGGCGCAGCGCCGGCGGTGTCGCGCTGCATGGGCCAACAGAGAGCAGTGGCGAGGGGCGGCGGGCTCGGACGTCCACCGAGTCGCTCCGCGCGGCAGGCGGAGCGCGCGCGCGGGCCTGGAGGCTCTCGGCAGGCTGGAAGAGGACATCTGCACTTATTGCGGGCGGGCCTGACTCCACTTTGTATTCGGCACACGCCTCCCTACCGGTATAAATACCGGGGGAGGTATACTGTCCCGTTTTGCTGTTCACAGCTAGGGACGGCCTCTGCGGGCAAAGTCAAATCACCCCCACCTCCCTCCCTACCCACAGGCAAACCTTCGGCTCCCGCTCAGAGGCTCGCCGCGCCCGTGCGGCGCGCCGAGGCGGCGCCGAGGCCGGCGCCTTGCACCCGGCCCGCGGCCGGCACCGCCTCGCCCCACAACTGACCGCCCTGCGGCCCCTGCGCAGGCGTGCTGCAGGCGTCGCTCAAAAAGCGACGCCGGGTGTGGGCTGCTCCCTTGACCCGTCACCCGCCGCGCCCTCGCCCGGCCGCCTCACCGCTCACGGAGCGTGCTCGCCGCCGCCGCCGCGCGTCCCGCGCCGCCACGCATGCCCCTTGCCCTGACGCGCGCTCTGTGCAGCGGCGCAGAGCGCGCGTCCCTGGCACAGACGGAGCAGCGGCCGCGCCAGCGGTCGCTGCTCCGCCCCCCCGTCGCGCGCGCCGCGCGCGCGCTGCCGCCGCCGCCGCCGCCGCCGCCCCCTCCTCGCCGTCTTCCCCACCCTACCCTCTGTTGCGCGCGCCGCGCAGCCGCGCTGCGCGCCCCCGCCCTCGCCCCCGCCCCCGCTCCCAAGCGCCCCTTCCCCGGTAGGTGTGCGGAGAAAGTAGAACCAATCGAGAGGTGGCAGAAGCCGCCGTGTGTGACACATATTGCGGCACGTGAGAGTGAGACAGAGCCCCGGCAGCGCGGGGGCCAGCGCGCGCGCGCAGCGGCCAGCGCAACAGGCGTTTCAAACAGCAAACGGGACGGCCTGCGCAGCCTCTAACTATTTGTTCCTTTGGCCGCGTTGGGTAGCGAGCATTGGTGTGACGCGATCCACGCAGGCGTGTTTTCTGGCGGCGACCGTCAGTGCACGGAGTTGCCCCTTCTCCGACTGCCCCGGCTAGTTCACGGGTTTCGCGGGAGTGACCCCATGCGTCAAACCAAACCCGAGACCTAGCGCGGGTGGGTTGGAGGGGGGCTCGCTGCAGGGCGGGCGGCGGCGGGGGCGACATGCCCCGCCTCAGCCTCCTCCCACGCCGCCGGCTGCAGAAGAGGGGCGGCGCGGCGGGGGCGCGGCGGAGGGAGGGGCGGGCGGGCGGGCGGCCTTGGCGGGGTGACTTTCCCGCGCGATCAGCGGATGCTGCCACCGGCAGACGAGATTAGCGTCGGAGGCGGCGACTGCGGAGGAGGGGTGAACGGCAGCTGCGCTGAGGGGAGGCGCCGACGGGGCGGCGTGGGCAGTGGCCGTGGGCGGTCCGGGTCGGTGCCGGCCTCGCTACCGCCGCCGCCCCCCCTTCTCCAAGACATTTCCCGGCACCTTCTCCTGAGCGGGCGCGTAGGCGCCTCGCGCGCGGGCGGCGCGTCGGCGACGTCGCGCGGTGCGGGAGCGTTACCGAGAGATGAGCCGAGATCCTGAAGAGATGTGGCTGTCCCCCCAGACCTCCGGGGCGGTGCTCTCCCCCCTGTCTCTTGTCCGATGGTCACCTCTCCCGTCTTCAGCCCGCGCGATTTCTTTTTGAGCGATTTCTTTTTTAAGGGGCCGGGGTTCCGCCGTCCCCCCCCCCCCCCCCCGGGGGGGGGTCGAGAGGCGCACTCTTCAAGGAGGCGGTGGGCGTGTGGGAGGGGGTCGGCGAGGGCGAGGTGGCGGCGCGGAGGCGGGCGGTCGACGCGCGGCGGCCGGCGCAGGCCAACACAGAGACGGACAGACAGACACGCGCGCGCACACACGCACGCGCGCACTCACGCTCACTGCTCACGGATTTGCACGTTGCCCCCGGGGGCTCCAGCCTTGGGGCATCGAGGCGTGAGGGATGGACTAGCCCTCGCGCCGTGTGGAGAAGGTGGGGACGGTGACCGCACCTCCCCTCACCCTAGGCGGGGCCGGCCGCAAGCGAAGGAGGAGGTGCGCCGAGGCGGGTGGTGCCACACTTATCCACGAGACTTCTCGGAGCCTTCTCGGAGCCTTCCGTCAGGTACGACGCGTACGAGGCGGAGTACGACCGCGGGAAGATGAAGAAGCCGCTCCGGCAGGCGGCGGCGGCGGCGGCGGAAGAGGCGGCGCAGTCGCGTGGCGGGCGGCACAAGGGCATGGCCAGGGCGCGGGCGCGGGCGCGGGCGCGGGGCGCGGTAATGTTGGTGCGATTGGCGCGATCTGGTGGCTTGCAGCGCAAGCACGGGCGGGAGGGGCGACACTCGCCGCCCTCCCCGCCGCCCACCGACACGGGCGACGGGTCCTGAGCTCGCGCGCTAACGGGCTGTGGAGTCGCGACTGTGGTCTGTGGCTCTGTGCGGAGGTCCTCACCTAGGTCCTCACACCTCACAGCGGGCGGGAACAAAACAACATCACCCCACAGAAATGTAATTTGTGATCACGTGTGGGGGGGGGCGGGGGGGGGGCGCTTGCGGCCAACCAACCAAGGGGCTGTGATTGCTACAACTATGCTATCCCCGTCTCGTGTGCGAGGCGAGAGAGAGAGAGATTTGTTGCGAGGCGTGGGTGGCCGGGGATGCGCGAGGCGTGCGTGCGGGGGTCACCTCCTCACATGCACGGAGGTCCTCACAATCGGATTTCAGCTTGGTACTCGAGCACGCCCCCCCCCCCCCCCCCTAAGCGGCGGGCGCCGTGCTCAAGGAATCAACTCGGGGCCCACTTGTGAGCAGGCGCTCGAGGACTATGCGACGAGCGGTGCGACGATTGGGCGGAAGGAGCAGGAGGCAATGAAAAAGGAAACTGCGGAGCAGCGGCCTAGACAACAGGGCGATGACGCTCAGGACACCGATGGGGCGGAAGCAGTATGAAAATAGTGTTCCGGCGGCGTCCACGGCCTTGCCGGGACAGCAGCATCAGTTCTCCCGCGCACTCTCGCGGACCCTGAGGGCCACGAGCTGGGGTCGGCCCGCGACGCGCACCGACGGGCGCGTGGTGAGCCCTTGAGCGGCGAGAACGGGTCATACGTCGAGGGAGCGGACCGTGAGTTGAGGAAATCGGAGGACGCGACCCACCTCGCCACAGACGGTCCCGCGCCTCGCCGCTATGACGGGGACACACCCCGCACCATCCGCTGTGTCCCCGTCTTTGTCCGGAGTGAAAAGTCCAACGCGCTCGTCGGTGACGGCTTCCTCCAACCTGCGCCGCGCTCGGCGAACCTCGACAGCGCTTTCGGTGGCATGCAGCTCTTTGCGCCTGAAGCCTGGAGAGCAGCTCCTCAGCTGCTCACACGCTCTGCACAGTTGACACAGCCTACTGTGCGGCTGCCACAGCTGTCACAGCGATGGGCTCGCCCTCACTGGCCCTCAGTCACTTGTGCTGCGGCTTGTGTGAGCGACACTGCTCGGCGACTGCCGGCACACTGTGAGACCATGGGTGTGAGGTCAAACCACGCTACCAGCGCTTGGTCACATCAGCCCTGAGGTCAGATCCTTCTTCTCTGTTGATGGTAACACTTGTCTACTCGCTGGAGCCGAGCAGGAGGGCCCGGCGCACAACCCCTGGTCAACTCACGGTCCACACCCTCCCCGTACCAGCAAGCACCGAAAAAAAGTGCCTGTTTTCCGGGCGGCCGAGGAAAACAGCAGCGTGCGTGGAGAGAATCAATGCTCTAAATTCTAATACCTCCCCTTCCCCTTGCCGCCCTTGCCCGACCCCCACCCCTTTCCTCCACCCCCCCGGCCACCCGGTGACCCCCACCCGCCCCCACCGCCTGCACTCCACCCGCCGCCACCGCCCTTGCCGCCCTTGCCGCCCTTGCCCCACCCCTTGCCTCCATCTCCCTTGCCGCCGCCGCCCTTGCCGCCGCCCTTGCCGCCGCCCTTGCCGCCGTCGCCGTACGGAGGCGCCTGCAGCGGCTAATTAGTTATTAGTTGATTAACAATTAATTGACTAAGGGCCAGGGGCGCCTGCAGCGGCGGCATCTCGTCGCAGACAGACAGCCACTCGATCTCGCCCATCTTCGCCTCGAGCTCGGCGGCGAACAGCGCCTGCACGGCGATGCGCAGCCGAGGTGCAGCCGAGGTGCAGCCGAGGTGCAGCCGAGGTGCAGCCGAGGCGGAAGCGGCGAGGAGGCCTCTTTGCCATCAAAGACGAGATTACCCGAGATTGTACCCGAGATTCCCCGAGATTCCCCGAGGTCAGGCGAACAAGCGCCTCTTTGACATCGAAGACGGCGCCGTGCCCGTCCGCCGTCAAGCGCAGCGACCGCACGTTTTCCGTGCCGTCCGTCGCGCCGGCGGGGAGCACCTAATCACCTCGGGCAATCTCGGGTGACCTCGGTCGATCTCGGTCGATCTCCCCCACCCCGCCGCGCGGCGTGAGGGGGGGCACACCTTGCGCAGAGCCCCCCACACAAAGGAGGGGCTGTTGACGGGCGAGCGCATCGTCGCGTGCAGCGTCAAGTACCTGTCAGCGGTTGAGAGCAGCTAAGGAGCCAGGCAATCGCCAGCCGCCTCTCGTCGCGAGCAGCGTCGCGTACCCGTCGATGTTGGTCAGCAGCGAACGCGACGGCGGCACCTCCGTCGTCGACGTGGCGAGAGCAAGGGCGGCTGCGACCGCCTCGACGGCGTCGCCGGCCTTGGCCTCGAGCAGCGACGCGGCGGCGGCGTGGAAGAGGGCGCACGCCGCGGCGGGCACGGCGGCGGCGTCGCCGCTCGCCGTCTCGGCGGCGGTCTGGACGAGAGACTTTGGGTTCGGCGGCGAGAGCCACTCGAAGCGGTTCTTTGTGAAGCGCTCGATCTGCTCGACCGCCTCGCGGTCGCGCGGCCCGTAGAGCGTCACGCAGATGCCCTTGCGGCCGGCGCGGCCGGTGCGGCCCGAGCGGTGGACGTAAGTCTCTTCGTCGGGGCGGAGAGAGCGCTGCCGCATCGGCGGCTTGGCCTGGAGCACGAGATCGACGATCATGTCGAGCCCGCGCGCGGCGACGTCGGTGGCGATGAGGACGCGGAACTTGCCGCTGCGGAAGGCGGCCATCGTCTTTTCGCGCACGGCCTGCGGGATGTCGCCGTGCAGGCACTTTGCCTCGAGCTTGAGCGCGTCCGAGTTGGTCAGGTCGTCGCACTCGGCCTTGGTCTGGCAAAAGACGATCACGCGGCCCGAGGAGGTGGTGTACATCGAGATGACGTCGTTGATTGTCGAGGACCGGGCGCTCATCGGGCCGGGCGAGGGGATGGCGAGGTGGCGCACGTCGGACGAAGCCTTCTTCTCCTTGTCGCCGACCAAGTCGACTACGCGCGGCGAGGGGCGCATGTACTTCGGCGCCTCCTTAACGACCCACGGCGGCAACGTCGCCGAGAAGAGACACGTCTGCCGGTCCTCGCGCGTGCAAGTGGCGAGGATCTCCGCCATGTCGTCGGCGAAGCCCATGTCAAGCATCTGGTCGGCCTCGTCCAGAGTGGCGCAGAGCACATCGCACAGCTCGAGCGCAGAGCGGCCCATCAAGTCCTTGACTCGGCCGGGCGTCCCAATCAGCACGTCGACCCCGCGCCGCAGCTCGGAGCACTGCGCCCCGATCGGCGCGCCGCCGTACACGCAGCAGCAGGTCAGGGTGGGTGCGACGGCGGCGAACTCGCGCCCCACCTGCAGCGAAAGCTCTCGCGTCGGACTATCTCCCCGTATCCTCCCCATATCTCCCCATATCTCGCGCCCCACCTGTTGGATCGTCGGAATATCTCCCCAAATCTCCCCATATCTCCCCATATCTCGCGCCCCACCTGCTGCGCCAGCTCCCGCGTCGGCGCCTAATGGCAGCTGCGCCCTGTGAAGCGACGCAGCTCCCTGACACCGCCGCCCCACTTCGCGCCGTCGGCGCCAGCACAAGCGCAAGCGGCCGGCACGGCTTTGGCAGCGAGCGGTCGACCTTCTTGAGGCCGAGCAGCCGCTCGATCGTGGGAAGCGCAAAGGCGAGCCTGCGTGGTGGGGTACCCATACCTCCAGAGTATCGAACCCAGTGTGGGTTCGGATTCGTGGGCGGTGCGGTATCTCCAGTGCAGGGCCTGCGTGGTGAAGTACGCATACCTCATTCAGAGCACTCGAGCGCTAGTTGGGAGAGAAGAAAACGCATTCCGCTTCTAGGCAGGCGAGCGTCTTGCCACAGCCGGTGTGAGCGCGGCCGATGAGGTCGTCGCCCCCGAAGATGAGGTCGAAGGTGGCCGACTGGATTGGGAAGAGCGCCTGCCGTCGGAGGAGCGCATCCTGACCCTGCTTCCGTTTCTTATCTATGTATGTTTATGGTGGCGCGATTGTGCGTCAGGCAAAAGGCGAGCGCCGGCGGAAGGTGGCACGCCGAGCGTGTCAGCCAAGGGAGGCGATTGACTACAGCACCCTCTCATTTCGCGGATTCGGGAGAGCGCCTGGATCCCGCGAGCCTCGAGCGCCGCCACGGTCGCCTCGCTCAGCCGAAAGTTGGTCAGGCAGCCCGCGTCAGCAGCGGCGGTGTCGGCGGTCTCTGCGGTGTCCGACAGGTCCGACGGCGCCGCCGGCTCGGCCGCCCGCTTCTGCTTCTTGGGCTTGCTCTCGGACGCGTCAGCGGCGCGCTTCAGCTTCTTCTTCGGCGCAGCAGCCGGTGCCGCCTTGGCCGGCACGTCGGTCTTCTTCTTCTTCTTGATGGTTAAACTAGCTCCGCCCTCCCGAGAGGTTTTCGCGGCCTTCTTTTCGACCTTCATGCCGTGTGGCACGTCGCCACGGTTTTCCGACACCACAAAAAAGAATTCTCCGGAGTCAGCACACTGGCACGACAAGTTAAAATCCCTGTGTGGTGCCCGTCTTTGGGAGGTGCAGCCAGGCCGCCACCGGCTTGGAGCCGTTGGCGCCGTATAGCAAGGCACGCGTCGCACTGTCGTGGGACTGCGAGTGGCTGGGCAGCGCCACCTCGACGTGCGACGGCAGCGCCAGGCAGAAGGTGGCGCTGGCCCACAGCTCGTAGAAGTCCAGCTCACCGCCACAGCTCGGATCGGATCCCGACGGCGAGGTGCCGTTACCCGTGACGGCGAATCGGTGCGGCCAAAAGTCGGCCGTCATGTTGCCGGCACACAGCGTGCTCGGAAGGCTGTCGCACGCCGCGTGCAGCTTGTGGCGCAGGCAGGCCGACAGGCCGTGGGCGCCGGCGTTGCTGGCGATGAGCGTCTGCCGCGCGGAGAAGGCCGCCGCCATCATCTGCTGAGCCGCAGCGGCCTTATTGCCCGACGTGATGTTCGACATGATGGCAGCCTCCGCCATGGCAGCCTTGAGATCGCCCAGGCGAGAGGAGGCGAGAGGAGGCGAGAGGAGGCGAGAGGAGGCGAGAGGAGGCGAGAGGAGGCGAGAGGAGGCGAGAGGAGGCGAGAGGAGGCGAGAGGAGGCGAGAGGAGGCGCGAGGAGGCGCGAGGAGGCGCGAGGAGGCGCGAGGAGGCGAGAGGAGGCGAGAGGAGGCGAGAGGAGGCGAGAGGAGGCGAGAGGGGGCGAGAGGGGGCGAGAGGCGGCGAGAGGAGGCGAGAGGAGGCGAGAGGAGGCGAGAGGAGGCGAGAGGAGGCGCGAGCCTGCTCGAGCGGCTTCTGGCACACGTTGGCGAGCACCTGCAGGAGATGGGGGGGAGATGTGGGGAGATATGCGGGAGATATGGTTC